TGAGGCTGGTGGGGGGGGGGGGGGGGGGGGGATGTATGAAATGGGGAGTATAATTCTCATTTACAACAGGGAATTTGAGCACTTCAAAAAGTGTTTAAAAATTTTTTCAGCTGTTCTGTGGGGCCGTGTCACCAGTTTATTAAAATTCCCCTTACACACTACTACGTTTCGGTACTTTAAGCACTGAAAGGGGGTGGGGGGGGATTTAATCTCATTACATTCTCGTGCTACTGTTTATGTTAGATGCGGCAAAGAGTTGAAATGGTTGCAACTCACTTATATTTTATGGGTTCCGAAAAGAATTTCATTTTGTATGTTTCAATATCAATCGTCAGTCGTTCAATTTCCATAATTATTTATAATATTTTAGCATACAAATGCCACAAGAGAAGATAATACGTCAGTTATAATTGTTTATAATTATCATTAACATCATCACAGAAACTATTCAACCCATTGCAACCTTCACTGAGGTTACAATAAAGTAACACCATAAATAATATCCGTCTATACAGCTTTTATTTTAACGCCTTGTTTCTTTTTACAATACTATTACATGTTTCGGTCTATCCTATTCCATCTTCATGTGGCACGTAAGGTTTTTATTGAACTGTATGGGCTTTGTGATCAATCAATACATTTAGTAGATTTTCCACTCATTTGCAACCACAAGTTAAAATTTAATTTTTCATATTTAAAAATTGTGAGCTGGGATCTCCTACCTTATGCTGTCGGGCACATTTGTAATCTCGGAATGGTTTTGGGGTGCCGCAGGAATCTTGAAAATATTTATAGTAATGACTTGATTGTTTGCTGTTGATAGCATAACACTTAGTGATTTTTGGTTCGTTAAACTGAATCTCTGTCCAGTCCGGAAAAGTTGCGAGTGTTTAAGTTGTGTTCAGGTTTCGTATGGAAATAATGGTGATATTTTCTATAAAAAAAGACTTGGAATTTGTTAGGTGGTTTTATGGGAAACAAAAAGTGATAAGACAATTTTCATTAAATTCCTTGATGTCAAAACGTAAGGTGCAATGCTATTCCTAGTCTGATTATTGTAATTAATCTCCTATTTTGAGGTGTATTTATACTGTACCGCTATACATTACAAGTTTCTGTTAACAGTTTTCTGTTTTTATTTTCATGAGGATGGAGTGCTACCTATTTTGTTCTGGCCGTTGACTATAGCAGTTATATTGTGACTTCAGCCTGCCTGAGAAACGAGTTAGCGCGTGAGTAGCAAACGAGTAGTAATCGAGTAACTGGCGAGTTTATCATAAGGGCATTGTGTACTTTGAGTTATTTTAAAAAACAGACCACGATTCACACCATGAAAAATTCCGATGACATTATTTAATGTCTTTAGTTTGAAAATAGGCTGTATAGGATGATGACATATTTTTAACGAAAAATAACAGGCATTTCCTTGGATTTTCGTGACCGAGTCACAACCAGTTTGCGGAATCAGGTTAAGGTGAATATTTATATAAACGTTTTATTTTACTTGGAAGAATTAGGCCTTGTCGTTCCCTTTCATTGACTGTTATTTTGTGTTTAACGCTACTATATTTATACACAGAAATCTCGCTAGAAGTCAGTTAAACTTTATTTCGCTTTCCATTATATGCCGATCTCACAATACGAGAGATTTATGACAACCCAGTGAAGAAATTGTTTATTTATTTGCGAAATATGGGTGATCATACTCTTTTTTTCTTTTAAAATCACAGAATATTAAATGTTTATTGTGAATAAACCTGTTTATAAATGTTAACAACAGTTACATTTGTAAACTTTTACCTAATGTACAATGTAATCCAAATAGTTTACTGTCCTTGAAGACAGACTACTGGATTTTCAGTCCGTAAATCAGAACATGTTGGGATCAATTAGTGTATGTATTTCCTCGAATGTTGCCGCAGCACTGACATGGATTGGCTTCAGAACATGCGTACCTGACGATCACACCATCAAGGAGGCGATGGATGCCTTGGATGCCTTGGATACAAGCAGTGGTGCATCAAACCGTTTGGTGAAGTTTAATGACTGCGATTATATTCAAAACGCCATGTTTCCATGACTGTAATATAGTTTCGGAGGTTAATAAATAACGTGGTACTTGGAAGGAGGCGATTATATTCAAAACGCCATGTTTCCTTGACTGTAATATAGTTCCGGAGGTTAATAAATAACGTGGTGCTTGGAAGGAATGATTTCCTACCTTTTCTCTAGGTTTTACTATATTTCTTATAAAGAGGGCGACTACCCTCATGATGGAGACATCAGGTTCTCTGAAACATCGGCCAATTTCTATCAGACTACACGTTACAACATCCCAGAAGGCAGTCATTTTCATATTGCAAAGAAATTCACAAATAACTCATGAATTTAAACTCATTAGTTGCATTATTTATTTTAATTTATTTTTCGCCTATAGTTGTATATAAAATCTGCGGTTAAGGAATTTTAGGTTCTTATATCAAATCTAAAACTTCTTGACGATGGTGAAGAGTCAATTGAATAAAAATTTTTTTGGATATTATCCATCGTCTAGTAAAATATAAAACGTAAAACGACGTTTCGGAGAAGGGACTCTATCTCCGTCTTCAGGTTCCTACACAGTTGGGCCCACTAGATAGAGTTAATCCCTATCTCCGGACCTTCCTTGGATATTATCCATCGTCTAGTAAATATAAAACGTAAAACGACGTTTCGGAGAAGGGACTCTATCTCCGTCTTCAGGTTCCTACACAGTTGGGCCCACTAGATAGAGCTAATCCCTATCTCCGGACGGAACGTCGTTTTACGTTTTATATTTACTAGACGATGGATAATATCCAAGAAAATTGTTATTCAATTTAGGTTCTTAGGTCTGCAGGGACATATTATATAAACGCACTGGGACCGCTGAAAGTTATGTTTTAACTGTAACTACTTAATATTTAAAAGGGCACATATTTCGAAACGCAACTAGTCTGGTTGAAATTCCAAACAGGGCGAAACGGGCGAACGCGATTGGAGAAACGCCGTGATTTTCATAATTCTGCAGAGGGCATCGCCGGGCAGTTGGTTTGGACCACGTCCTCGTACTGACTCCTCTCCAGACCATTATTTCCCAGGACTTCGTTTACCTCCGTCATGGAATCCTCATCGAGAGTCTTCTGTCGACTAGACACCCAGGACAAATCTGTAATCATAACTTAACTCAGTAACTTAAGTAACTTAAGCCACATTTGCAGCGCCTTGTAAACAATATAATTTATATATTTGTTTATGAGATGATAAAGTTACGTCATATTGTGATAAATATATATTTGTTTAAATCTTGTCAGTCTAATCACAATAAAATTCCTATTAAATATTAAAATATTACTAAAATTAACATTTAAATATTTAAAATGATGTTCTCTATCGAAATGTTCGATTTAATGTTTATATATTGATAAACGCATTTAGTTTGACAGCTATTCATGAGATGATAAAGTTGCGTCATATTGTGATAAATATATATTTGTTTAAATCTTGTCAGTCAAATCACAATAAAATTCCTATTAAATATTAAAATATTACTAAAATTAACATTTAAATATTTAAAATTATGTTCTCTATCGAAATGTTATCATCTCATAATAGAATTTATGTTCATGTCTGCAGTGAACTTACGTCTAATACTGCCGTCATTTTGCACAAGGCAACCCCATAGTACTGCATACGTGTTGTAGTTTGTACCCAGGACCCAATAGCTTGAACTCCACACAGCTGGAAACACACGAAAGTTCAACAAACCAATCGTTTTAATCTTCGTTTCGAAAAGCATTCTTAGTGTCTGTACGCGTAGGTAATCTTAAGAGTGGCCTTCCTCAGCGTCTGCGTAAAGTCGTGCAAGGAGGCGTCGCATTGAGTGTTAAGAAAATTTCGGTAGAGTATTCCATTATTATTATTAATGGTCTATCTCTTATTGTGAATTATTTTGTTAAACCTGCTGTTAGCAATTGCTACAGAAACTTTCTTTCGTTACACACTTGGCTATCAAAATAACCTTCCAGTATATCCGAAAGTAACAAAGTCCAGATTACGGGACTATATTTCGATTAAATTCGGTAAATTAGACGGAGAACAGTTGCCGGCGTGAATATGAAAACTTGTCCTCGAACGGTTTAACGCGTCTTGGTAGGCGATGAGGGAGGGGGGGATTCTATTGTGTTTAGTCATTTGCAGGTGTTTATAAAATGTTATATGCCACCGTGTGTTACTTCCAATCATCTAAATTAATTTGAAGGACACTTTATTTAAGTATTCAATTACATTTGAATGTATTTATTTTATGTGATTTTAACAGAAGTTGCTCACATTCGTGATGTGCCTGTATGATGCCCTGAGGAAATATAATTGCTTTCTTCCTACTACTATTACGAAAATAGGCCCACTTATTATGTACGAGCCATTGAAAACTTAATATGGCATATTTTGAATACTGCTCCCAAGTTTACATTTTCCTGTTGTTTAGAAATTTCATAGGGTTACATTTGAGCTTCGCATACGACTTGCATTCAGTTGCGTATTACAAGTCTTGAAAATGTCCGTGATTGTATTTAGACATACATTTATATTTATCCAACTGGTATCGCTGGTTTGAAGTGTTTTGCGTAAGCAAATGCATCGTCACCGAATAAATCAGTTCTATCCAAAACCATAAGAATGCTTCTGCAAAAATATAAACGTATGTTATATGAGAAACAGAGGCTCCTTACGCTTAATTTTTTATCAATGTCATGCAATTCATGGGCTAATATTAAGGACTTCCAAATAACCTTCCATGTTTTTCCAGGACTTCTCTAGGATTTCTACAGCAATTCTCCATGACAAAAGAATTTGCGCATAACGTCTACAGGACTTCTCCGACACTACTCTAGGACTTTTGTAGGATTTCTCAAGGAATTTTCCTGGAATTCTCCAGGATTCTCCAGCACTTCTCCAGGACAACGCAACCCATCGCAAAACAACCTTATATAACCTACCCTTAACTTACCTGACTAAACCTAACCTAACCTAACCTAACCTATCCAAATATAACCTAACCTACCCTAACCTAACCTAACCTAACCTAACCAAACCTAACCTAACCCAACCTAATCCAAAACGCAACCTAATCCAATGTAACGTATCCCAACCAAACTTAAACGAATCCAAAATAACCAACGCTTAAGCAAGGGCCAACAGTTGAAGGTGCTATGGCCTTTGCTCAGTGTCTACTCACTTTCCCCGCTATAAGTGATGTCGAAACGACCAGGCTGGGACAGTGTCACCACTCCATCCAGAAATACGTACGCTCCGTTGCTATGGAAAGAGAATTGTGAAATTAACACATTTCCCAAAATGTCTGTTGCTGGAAATAAGGGTACATTGCCATGACATTGAACTCGTGCGTGTTTTAGGAACAATACAGGTCTTCTCGTAATTATTATACATTTATTGAAGGAAATTCCACTACGTTATTCCAAAATATCTACTCGAGTTGTTACAGATATTATGTCGCCTGCGTTAGAATAAATTTCATTACCAAAGTTTAGGTTTAATTAATTAGGTTTATAAGTCCATAACTGTAGTAATTGTCAATATTTGTATTAGTCATTAAGCGACTACGTTGGCCAATCAATCTACTATTATTATTTATTTATTATTTTCTGGAATATAATCTCTTATTGCCAGTTTAAACATTCGGAGAATTTGAAGATATCCGTCTTCTGGGTTATTGCGCTGTGTAGTCTGGTCGATGTTAACCAACGTTTCGGAGGTCATACTGCCTCCATGATCAGGGCGATGAGTATGAAGATTCCTGTCTTCTGGGTTGTTGCGCTGTGTAGTCTGGTCGACGTTAACCAACGTTTCGGAGGTCATACTGCCTCCGTCATCAGAGTATGAAGATTTCTGTCTTCTGGGTTCTTGCGCTGTGTAGTCTGGTCGATGTTAGCCAACGTTTCAGAGGTCATACTGCCTCCATCATCAGGGCGATGAGTATGAAGATTTCTGTCTTCTGGGTTGTTGCGC